TATATATATATATATATATATATATATATATTATACTCATCAAATTTCGTGCAATAGTCTCTTATTTTTTAAAAATTATGACTATATAAAGTTTTAAATCTCCTCAATTTGAGTGGACTGAAAACTTTGCAGAGTCATAAATATTGAACACTTAGAGATTATTGTATGAAATTTGAAATTTGTTGATGAATATAAATTTAGATAAAAAAAAATAAAGAAAATATTTTATAAACTCATTGCTCCCACATTAAGGGCTGGACTCCCACATTAAGGGAGAACGCCCAAGAGAGAAAGGCCTAAAGGGGGTGGGCTACCACATTAAGGGCTGGGTGGGCCCAAAAACTAGGTTTTTTGTCCCCACGCCCCAATCACTGCAATTATTTGCAAAACATTCTTATTTGATATAAGCATAAACATATAAAAGTTTGCACAATGCCTGTAAGTGTCAAAACTCAAACATCTAAAAATCTAGTGCACACTTCTGTATGTATGTATATATGTATGTATGTATGTATGTATGTATGTATGTATGTATGTATGTATGTATGTATGTATGTATGTATGTATGTATGTATGTATGTATGTATGTATGTATGTATGTATGTATGTATGCATATACACACATACACACACATGCATGTATACAATTATATATATATACACAATTATATATACATACACATTTTATACATTGCATATAAAAAACTTACATATAGCTACATACATATATTTTTACTGGAGTAAAAATGATTTTACAAAGATGATGGCATTAAGTAATTTTTTTAGAAGATGACATAGTCAAAAACCATTTAATTCAAAAAAATAATTTAAGTAAAATTTAGCAAAAAGCAGTAACACTAAAAGAGATTAAAGTAAAGTTTTTGGAGAAATTAAGTAAAACTTATTTTGATGATGTTATATGTCTATAAAACAAAAAAGAGAAGACCTGAGGATATTTATCAACTGAGGAATTTGATTTATAAAATTATTGAGGTAACAGTATACTTTTTGTAAAATAGATAGACTTAAAAATAAATCAAACATAAAAACTACCTATATACATTATTGCTCCAGAGTCCTCCTTTTCCATCTTAAACAAAAGAATAAAATATATAGAGTATATCATTTTCAATTTGAAAAAATTAAATTAAAAAAAAAAATAGATTAAATTTAAAAAAATAAATTACCTCGACATAAGTTTGACGGTCCATACATATCAAATTTTTTAACAGTATTAGCACCAGATAAACATTTTCCTCCATCTTGAACAGCAAATATTGTAAATCCATGGTCAATAGCAACTCTTGCACACTTTTCTACGGCATTTTTACGCTTATTGTATGGTCCAGTTAAGAAATGGTGTTTATTTTCAAACGAAACAAAATTGCTCTTCTTTGACTCTTTCCAACATCCCAAAGATTCTACATTTTCTATAAATATGTTTTGAAAAAAATTTATTTTTAAACTTTTATAAACTCTTTTGTAAATAATTAAATATACTAATAAATATATTTATAAATATACTTTATAAACATGAATATACTTATAAAACTAAACATACTTTTAAATTTAAATTTTTATAAAGAATCTTGATGATAACAAATAATATATATTGATAAAAATAATAATAACAATATGCATATAACTTTAGATATCATTTAACCAATACAGTTTTCAATCTTCTTGCTCTGCGGCTGACTTGCTAACTACTGTGACTGAAAGATTTTATTGCGCATTAGAGGCAGCAGGGTAAGGGTTGTTGGTCTTGGCATATCTAAAGCTTTCGATAAAGTTTGGCATGCTGGAAGCTTGTTTCATATGGTGTATCTGGAAAATTTTTTGATATTATAAAATCATTTTATTCTAACCACTTTGTTTAAGTTATCTGCAAAGGCCAACACTCTTCTTCATTTCCAGTAACTTCTGGGGTAACTCAAGGTTCTATCGTTGGTCCTGTTTTGTTTATCTTTATTAATGATTAACCTGTCAAACTTAAATCTAAAGTGGTTTTATTTGCTGATGACTCAACTTTATACTCTTAAGAAAAAGTTTTCTCTTTTTGATTACTTAGAATGATTTTGAATCTGATCTCACTAGTGTAGAAGATTGGGGCTTGCAATTGCTTTACATTTTCCTGGATTATTATTCACTACTGACTTCTCAAAAAAAAACATACGTAAAATCAATTGCTTAGATAGCATCTGCTAAGGTTGCTTCTCTTTATTGTGCTCACCATTTTCTTATTCCTGATTCCATTCTCTACCTCTACCAATCACATATTCATTCCTGTATGGAACACTGTTGTCATATTTGGTTCTTCTAATGATGCTCTTTCTTTTCTAGACAAGGTCTAAAAACCTAAAGTAAATGTAGTTGGACCTGCTTTATCTGCCAGGCTTGAGCCTTTCTCCCATTGTCATAAAGATTCATCTCTTTCTTTTTACTACAAATACTTTAATGGCCACTGTTCACAAGAGCTATCATCTCTAGCTCCATCAACCAAAACTCATTCTCACTTTACTCGCCATTCATCAAAGTCTTATTCTTTTACTAGATCTGTCCTTGCATACACTAAAAACTTTTATTTGTCTAGTTTTTATTTTCCCACACCTCAAGCCTTTAGAACTCTCTCCCATCTTCACATTTTCCTGTCTCATACAAGCTACAATTTTCAAGTTTTCTGTCAACTATTTCCTTGCTCTTTAACTCTATTCTTTATTTTCTAGTGACTCTCAACTTAATAGTGGTTGCTTGCAGCCTTGTTGAAAGTGAATCAATAAAAAAGAAAAGAAAAAAGAAAATTATTTGGAGTTAAAAACCATTATTGTTTGAGTATTGGTTCTTAAGAACCATTATTCCTTGAACTATGGTTTTCAACTCCAATGCCAGCCTGTAAAAACAGACTAATTCTAATCCATTATTTAGTTCTCCAAAATCTATTATTTAGATTTTTTTTATCTTAATAATTATGTCAATAAAAATATTTTTTCCTTTGTATTTTCAGTCAAACTATTTTTTACTAAACTTTATAGTCTAATATATAAACAATTTCACTTTCAGATCTAATACTTGGTTTATGATATACTAAATTATGATATTTGAAAACTAGCAAATTGATCAGTGTAAGTACTTTTGAACCAATTAAATATAGATTAAATTTTTTTTAGCATCATAATTTCATTGTTATAATGTAATAACTTTGTCATTAAATTCATTAAGTTAAGATCTGAAGTTCTACCTTCAGATCATCGTTGATTATTCTGCATCCCTTGCATGTAAGATGTGTAGTACATTTTGTGACTTCTTACTTCTATCGCAACATAAATTCATTGCACAGCAGCTTTTTAAAGTAACTCTGCATCCTTTGTTTTCAACAGACTTAGAATTTGCAGTTTTTGCGTTTTTGAAGCATCTAATAGAAGTTTTTTTATTAAATTCAACAGAGTTCAAAATATTGTTTATTAGGATTTATATGAATAATAAATACTAATTAACAATATGTAGCTTTGTAGTCTCAAGTTACCAAGTTTACTGATACTTTATCAGACTATAGACAATTGACTTAAGGAAGATTTATTATATATTTTTGCCTATAACAACTTGTTGCATATAACAAATTGTTACATATAACAAATTGTTGCATATAACAAATTGTTGCAAATTAAATTATATTTTTTATTTTTTTTCATTATGCTTAATTTATTTTCTTAAATTTAATTTACAAAAAAAATGAAAAAAAAAATTACTATATTATAATTCTTGACATCTAAATGTAAGTAAGGTAATAAAGTAAGATATAACCATAAGTAAGGAATAACCATAAGTATGGTATAACCATTAGTAAGGTATAACCATTAGTAAGGTATAACCATAAGTAAGGTATAACCATAAGTATGGTATAACCATTAGTAAGGTATAACCATAAGTAAGGTATAACCATAAGTAAGGTATAATCATTAGTAAGGTATAACCATTACTAAGGTATAATCATTAGTAATGTATAACCATAAGTAAGCATAACCATGTATCTATATGAAATAGTTTACATAAATTACAATGAATTACAAATTTCTGGAAAATGCAAGCACATATATTGATATAAAATATATATATAAAACATATATATATAAAATAACAGATTAAAATAGGCATGCCTGGTCTTAAAATTCTCCAAGAAATTTTGATATATTTTCTGTGCAAAAATGCTGACTTTTTTCTATATGATTTAATCAGAAAAATAAGAAAAAAAGAAAGAACAATGAAAAAACTTGTCGTTTCCCCAACCCGAACCCTTAGTTCACGTAGCAGCAACTACCCTATATATATATATATATATATATATATATATATATATATATATATATATATATATATATATATATATATATATATATATATATATATATATAAGGTATATATATATATATTAGGTATATATATATATATATATATATATATATATATATATATATATAAGGTATATATATATATATAAGGTATATATATAAATAAGGTATATATATACTATAAGGTATATATATATATATATAAGGTATATATATAAATAAGGTATATAGATCAATAATTTCTTACTAGTTTTTCTATCTCTATAGCATTCTCTATAGCATATAGCTTCTGAGATATGTGATACATAGAATAAACACGCATTATAAGTGTAATATGTGATACATAGACAAAACGAGTGAAATATATGTAATATGTGATACATAGAAAAAACCTGTGAATGTACTTTTTTTTTCAAATTTTTTTATTGCTCCAATCTTGGCTATAAGAAAAACCACTCAAGATGGCCTGATGCAGCTTCAACTCCTCTCAGTAAAAAGAATGGTTTAAACTATTGAGATCCAACAATATTTATAGTTATAACAATATATTTATAACAGTATTTTATCATAAACTAGAAGTACATACCAATAAAATTAAAATAATTCGAGAACAGTCATTATCAGATTGAAGCTTTATCAAGTTATTTAAAATCAAAAAAATGAAAATCAAGGAAAATAGAAGAAAAATCTTGTCCTTCATTTTGATTAAAAATTATCGATATATTTATATAAGGAAATCAAAAATTAAAAAACTGCTACTACAACAACCACAACAACTCCAAAAATAGTCCTTTTTAGGACTCTTTTTGGACTCTTTGACCCTAAATAAATTGTCACTACTACAGATTTAAATCAACATAATAAAAATATATTCTCCTCATTTATATCTTTAAAATGACTTTCATTAGATACTTTTTTAAACAAAAAAAAAAAAAATTAAAAAAAAAAAAAATTTTAACCGTAATTTTATATTACTGTAATAAATAAATTGTACTGTAATAAACAAATTGTAATAAAAAAACAATTTTTAACTATAATAAATATACTACATAAATAAATATACTACAAAAGTTATTCCAATGTGAAACGCAAATTATATTTACAAAAAAAAAAAAAAAAAACCTTTAAAAAAATTGAAAACAAGTCAGCAGTACACAACAAAGATTTTTTTTTAAGTAAAAGTTAAGCCCAACTTTTTACAACTAAAAATTTATACTGCCTTTTTATAAGTAAAACTTTATACCGCCTTTTAAAACTCATTTTAACTGTAGACAACATAATTTTATATCTTCAAAAAAATATAAAGAAATTTGAGTTAGGTCATAAAGTACATCCATAAAATATGCTTCTTCTTACGTATGCATTATTTATCACAAAATTAATTCTTCTCTTTCTCCAACGCATAAATTTTTTTAAAACATTAAAATCAAAAAATATTTTAGTTAATTCGATAATATAATTATAAAACATACTATAATATTAATTTTTAAACCCATGAAATCTAATATATAATTACATAATAAAATATTATTTTTTTAAACTTGTGAAATTTAATGCTTTTGCTAAAAAAAAAAGAAATCAAGTTTTAGGAGAGATTAAGAATAAAAGATCAAACAACATGCGAACTCACTGTCTTTAATTCCCTCCTATCTTGTATGCATTCATACATTTTTGGGCAACCTTTACTCCCTCATACCTACATAAGTACTTTCTGGAAAACACCTAACAGGATAATCAGAACAACTGCTACTACTAATAACTGCATTATATTTATATATTTGTACTTTAGTTGTAAATTATTATCAATAAACCATTATTACTAATAAATATTGTACAAACTTAATTATAACTATTTTTAGTAACTATTTATGCAAAACATAATAAATGAAGTTAAGTAAAAACATTTTGACTAGAGAATATATTTACCTGTTAAAATATTAAATGACTAAGGTATATATTTAAGCTAAATATTACCTGTTAAAATGTTAAATGACTTAAGTATATATTTACCTGTTAAAATGCAATTGATTGATGGGAGGATGCAAAATAGTAAAATCCAATGATCTGTCATATCACTAAACATAGTATATTTTTAAAACATTTTTGTTGTATTTTATTAAAAAAATAATAAATGGTTATAATATTTGACATAAATTAATAATCATAAGTATTATTAACATTATTAATCAAATTATAATTTTAAACATAAAAAGTTTAAACTATAAACAGTAATTTTTTTTTGATTTATTAAAACATAATATAAATTATGTTCCATTGACACATTGGTAAGATGTAAGAGTTTGGATGTAATGTTCCATTGACACATTGGTAAGATAAGCAAGTTGGTAAGAGTAAGACAAGGGGTTTCTATCTTAGAGTTATAGGGTTAAAAAAGGTATGAATTTTTGTAGAAAAAAAATTCACGCTTTCAAAAATAAAATAAAATGTTTTAATAAGAATAAGTAGTAAACAAAAGCAAAAAAATATATACACATTGCTCAGCTATTTACCTATGCAATATGTTAAATAACCAATTATCACTAAATGAGCCGCAAACCTTAAAAAGAACTGTTTCTTATAAAATACAGTGTGCATTTTCAATTTATAATAAAATGTATTACTTCATGGCATATATGTTGAAACACAAATTTTGTTAACCTTTATGAGGTATTTAAAAAAAAAAAAAACTGATAAAGTTATCTTTGTATACTAAAAACAATACTTTAGCCTAATCAAATAAACTAACTTCACAGAAAAGTATTTCTAATGTACCCAAAATTTTAGAAAGATAAATATATGAATATATAACCTTGTAAAGATATACTGTGTAAATAAGTATGTAATTGGTTAAAGATGCACTTCAATTTTTTATAAAAGGTAAATCAGGTATAAACGTTAATCAGGCTAAAAAGCAAAGAAAAAATTTTAACAACACTGCAATATTTTTAAACTCTAAAAATCAAAATTGATTAAAGCCACCATATAAGCTGAAAGGAATGTTTTTAATTCTCTATAAAATGTTAAAAGATGTAAAATATTATCAATAAATATATGTTATAATTATATATAAATGTATATTTTTTATAACTTAGGCAGTTTATCATGTACAATTTTTGTATTAGGTAGATTATTATGTCCGATTTTATAAATAGAATACGAAGTCTTCTATATAATATCTCATAATAGAGCCTTACTACACTAAATAACAGATCCTTACTACACCAATTAAAGAATAAGAAATTTTAATTAACAATCTCATACTACTATAAATATATATATTTTTGCAATATCAAAAAACAGAATGCAAAATAAAAGATGACAAAAGCCATAGCAAAATCTGTTTAATCTATCTGGAATATTTTATTCTTGGTTACAAAAAATAAATTGACAGCATTGACACTGTGTGAAAATTTGATTTATTTCTTTTTGTACATGGGAAGAAATTTCTGATTGGCCTCTCACAAACCATATGGCTTGTGAGAGGCCAATCAGAAATTTCTATGTAGTAGAAATTTCTGATTGGCCTAATAGTACTTGAGAAATTTCTATGTAGTAGAAATTTCTCAAGTACTATTTCTATGTAGTATTCAAGTATACTATGTAGTATTAAAGAAATAGTTATGAAAGGTTCTGTAAACTGTCAATTAAATAGCTCCCCAAGAAATTGCAAGAATCGTTAATTTAGCACTTCTTTTTTTTTCAAAGTCATCCTAAATCGTGGCTAATTAACTCGAAAATATTTTGTTTCTGTTGTAATCTATTCAACAATACAGATATCTCCCTAGCAAAAACAGGATCTGCTGATTGGAAACATCACAAAACTTAATGAGACATGAAATTAGTGCTGATCATATTGAAATCTGGCGGATCCAGTTCACAAAAATCAAGTTAAAAATAAGACTTAAAAGTTCATAAACTGTTGATTGCTTAACGGAGAAGCATATTATGAATAAAAGTGATCCATGAGATAATGTTCTAAAAATAATAATTTCCATAATCATTATGATGACATCACAAAACATGGCATTTAGAGAATCATCTTGTTAACAGTTCCAGTCGCTGTCTGTCAAGGGGAATAATCTATTTCCTAACTAAATTTGATCAAAAACTATTTATGATCAAACATCAAGAAAAACTGAACGGAACCTTTGATTATTTCTGTTAAGAGTAAAAAAACTAGTTAAATATGCTCAAATAGCCAGAAAAAAAATATGCTCAAATAGCCAGATTAATATGCTCCAATTAAATATGCTCAAATTAAATATGCTCCAATTAAATATGCTCCAATTAAATGCTTAAATATGCTCCAATTAAATATGCTCAAATAGCCAGAAAAAAAGCCAGAAGTGTGCTACTTTCAAACAATAAAATTTAAAATCTAAGTTTCCCATAAAGTTTTGAATTTTCAATCATTTTAACTTTAATATTTTCTTTATATATATATATATATATATATATATATATATATATATATATATATATATATATATATATATATATATATATATATATTTAAATATATATATATATATATATATATATATATATATATATATATATATATATATATATATATATATATATATATATATATATATATATATAAAGTAATAATAATATTTGCTTTATATATATATTAAAATAAACATATATTAATGATACCTTTCGTAGCATTGCAATTTAAAACTGCATTGAAGAAAGGTTGAGCCTAAAAAAATAAAATGTTTAAAATTCAAATTATAAAAAAACTCATCAAGAATAAAAAGCTTAAGTAGTTTTGATATTTGTTTTATTTTTATTTGTTTTGATATTTGTTTTATTTTTATTTGTTTTGATATTTATTTTATTTTTATTTGTTTTGATATTGATTTGTCTTAGGTTACATATTAAAATAACAATAATAATATAGGAAATTAATATACATCAGTAAAAATGTTTAAAAATAGTTTTTAAAAAATACATCTTTAAACTAAAGCTTTTTAAGTAAAATGATGGTAGAATTGCAACAAGAACTACAATCATAGTTTTTTATCTTTGTTTTAAGCAAAATGCACTTTAACAAATCATTAAAAAAAGCAGAAATTCATAAATATAAACAATAAAAAAACTCTAAAAAAATAAAATAAAAAAAACAGTTTATATAATTTAATTAATATTTCTTTATTATTTATTAAACATTTTTTGCAAAAATAATAACAATAAAAAATAAAAATTGTCTGCAAAAGGTTTGTGATACAGCAGAAAAATAAAAGCTTCACTATGATTATTTCTTCTTCAACTGCTTTTTTTGTTTGTTTGTTTTACAACTAAATAACTCTTCAATGATTGCCTTATAAAAAATTAGAAGGTAAAAAGACATTCACAATTGGACAAAACTACAAAGGAAAAATTGTAGAATTTGTAACAGAAATATAACTTATATGCGCAGCGAGATCCTTTAAAGTTGATAAGATTTTTTCATGACAGCCTTTGGCCACCAACTTGTGGTTTCTGTAGCTATATGGATAGCTACATGAATGACATGAAAGTTACAACTGTTAATGTTTACTAGTTTACTTAAACCAGTCTTTTCTCTTTCCAACTGCTTTTCCCTGAGAACCTTCTAGTTCACATAAGGACCATCCATAAATAGTTTTACTTGTTTAATTAAATCCAACTCAGATTAACCATCATTTATTATCTTAATTAAGTCTGTTGTATTGGCATGTCTAAGAAACCTAGAATATTGTACTTTGCTACTAATTTTGTCCAAAATCTCACTACTAAATTCTCCTCCTTGCACGGCTTTTATCAAACTTCAATCATAACAAACAGACAGCCATTTTAATTTACCATGACCAAGTTCCTTCGTAGTTGCAATCTTGCTGTCTTGAAAGATTGCCTAAAATGTAATAACTGTATTCACAAATAACATGCTTAAGTGACCATTGAATCTCGACATTAAGTTTGCCTCCATTGTGATAAACCGAATTGTTGTTTGAAATTGTGTAACAAGTAAATTGTTTTTCAACTACACCTGCTGAACTACTTTAGTGTCTTGGTTTGTCTTTGAGTGTGTTTCAATGAATAACTCTATGGCATCTTTAAATTTTGTAACAAAATTTTTTTTACTCTTTTAGAATTATGTCCCTTGATCACCAAGTGAATTCATGGTTTTTCCCTGACTTTCTTTGGACCCGGTTGAAAAAACCCTTTTCAATCATGTCAATATATTTCTTGTTCAATTTTTTTAATACAGCATTGTGCAATATTATGATCAGTAAACCAATCTACAATTAGCAGGATTAAGAAGTATTTCATTGCAACTGGTAGCTTACCCTGATTAAGACAAGGAAAATATGGTCTAAACCAAAACACTTCAGAGAGATATGACCAATATTTGATGCTGGAAAGTATCCAAAACACAAAGAAGATTAATTAACTAATGATTTAGTTACACATGACATCCATGTCTCCTCAAGTAACGTGTCAAAGAAGTTGATACATATTAGAAGTTTGATGCTGTCCATTATTAACAAGAACAATTTTTTTGGCAATTTTTAACCTCCCTTTGTCAACAACTTGCCAAACTTCTAGATTAGTTTCTAGTTAGTCCCCCCTTATAAAATTAGGCCAACATTTGATTACAAACCCACCCACCCCTCCCTAAAAATTCACTCATCCCCACCCCTCCTACCCTCATATTTCAAATGAATAAAAACATTTAAAATCACAAACACTTGCTCTGAACAAAATGTAAAAGATATAGAAAAAATAATAATAATAAAATTTTAACATATGAACAAACTTCCAGCTTATAACTACAAAGAATTACTCTGAACAAAAAAAGATTGAAGGTTTCACAAAAATGTATAAACCTTACACGTTTAAATTATGAACATATTTCAAACCAATACAACACTTGAATGTGCTAATCCTCCTCACATTATACCTAATCAAATTTACAGTGAAACTGTAAATTTGATTAGGTATAATGCATTTAACAAATTAAAAAAATGCATTTAACAAATTGCATAAGTCAGGGGTTAGCATCCTTTAGATATCTCTTACAAATGTCATGAAGAAAAAGTGTCTCTTGTGGAAAAAAGAATATAAGTAGTTGAATAAAGAACAAAGGAGAAAGGTAATAAAAAATCAACAGTTGTAAAAGTTACAGCTATTTTATTATTTAGAGTAACAGGGGGTATTAAATTAAAAAGTTTGTTTGTAAGTTTCAAATAAGACTGAGTCATAATGCAGAGTACACTTTGCCATAGATAATAATTCTTTTTACATTTCCATCCAGTTTTCAGTTTCCTTTAAACTTGTTTAAAAATTTTAGCTAAGCAAGCGCTTGATTGTTTTTACTTGAAAAATTATTTCTACATTAAAATTTTTTTCTTTCCATATAGACTAAGTACTTGTTTTCGTACATAAAGACTAAGTACTTGTTTTTTTACTTTTTAACTATCTGTGTATGTAATCAATGAGATAAAATACTGATATTTGTAAAGCGAATGAAGGTAGAAATTTTAGCTAAGTAAAATGGTAGTTGGATGAATATCTAAGAGATTGTTTATAAATAGCTCTAAAATTCACTTTAATACTAAACTTTTATTTAATATTTTGAAGAGATAGCATTTTTAAAAGAAATATGGCTTTGTGGATTATTAATTAGTTTATAAAAATAAATGTTTTAATTAGCAGAGGCTTAATGCCCCCAGCTGTTAAAAAAAAAAATTCAAACAATCAAATAGCATTGACAGGTAAATAAAATCTGTTTTAATTTTATAAATAGCATTGACAGGTAAATAAAATGTGTTTTAATTTTATAAACATTACACAGATATAATTTAAATAGAAAATAAAAGTTATTTATTTGTAGAAATAGTTTACATTTTTCTTTAAATACAGCTTTGATAATGGAGCTTATTGCAGAATGGTTCCGACATAAAAAATGAAATAAGAAGGAGGCAGGAAGTCCTATGCAACTAGCCATTAACACCTGATACTAACCACTAGGTGGTTAGAATCAGGTGTTAGAGCGCAGAACTCAACAAATTCAATAAGAAAATATGATTTTTTTTTAAGCCAAGGCCAAGGCTAAAATTTTCAAGGCCAAGACAAAGGCCATGGCTAACAGTTTCAAGGCCTAGGCCTCAATTTTTGGCCTTAAGACCAGGTTAAGGCCAAGGACTAACAACTCTGGTCTAAAGTATGGTGTTCATGAAGGTTAAGGAGAAGAATGGGTGTGCTGTGATTTTGTTATGTTTGGTACCATATTAAATGCAAAAAAACTCCAAGTGGAGCTGATATTGAAGCCATGGACTGGATCTAAGAGAATTGCCTACAAATAATGCAAAAATATGTTTTACATACTGGAGCTTATTGCTTTTATTTTTTTAAATTTGAGTCAATGTTAGTTGTAACTTTTTAGCTCTTTTTTTTTCATGATGACTTAAAATTTTTCTGAATAAAGCGTTTGTAAATATATATGTTTTATATATCACTTAAAAATATGTCTAGTTTGAATTAAATACTTATTTAATTATTGCAAAGAGAGAAAAAAAAGATCTTGAAAACATGGGGCTTAATGCCCTCAGTTACCCTATCTAAACAAACTATTTTTAAAACAAAACATTAGTCACACAAAGTGAAAGCCCAGCAGTCAATGTTTGTTGCTTGCTCTGATGGTGAGTATATAAATCCTAAACACAACATGTCAAACGTCCCAAAAAGAAGATGTTTTGGGGTTGCTTCTTTGCTATTGGATATGGAGCACTCTACCCAGTTACTGGCACGATGAACTCTGACACTTACATTGACAAACACAATTATTTCCTAAGATATTAAAAGTGTTTCCAAATGGAAACGAAATATTACAGCAGGATTTAGCCACATGTCATACATTCGAAAAATTCAAGAAATTCATGTTAGAAATCAACATTAAAACACTTAATTTAAGTGTTTTAATGTTGTTGTTTTTTTGTGTGTGAAATGGTTTAAAATGGCAAATTAAGTTAGGCCATTTATGTTTTATATGGCCTAGCAACTCCTCAGATCTTAATCCAATCGAGAATCTTAGGGAAATTAAAAAAAAAAAAAGACTAAAAATCATGACTGCATGACTAATACTAAGCTTACCACCAATATGCCTCAGATTTGGTTTCAAGACTCAGAAATCCAATACATTAGTAAAACTGTAGTAGATTCGATGCAAAATCGTGCGCAGAAAGTCATAGCAGCACTAGGAGGATACACAAAATATTATTGTATGACTTTATTATACTACAGCAATATAAGATAGAAATTTTTGGATTTTTTTATTAATTTGCATTATTCTGTACAAATGCTTTTTTATAAAGATTTTTTACGCGCTAAAGTCCTTTGGATTATTTTTAAATGACACAAAAAGAAAGTGAAAGTTAAATGATAAAAATGATGTCATACACTAGAGATGCCTAACTTAACTTAAAAATGTGCCTAAACTTCAAACTTTCCAAAAGTTGTATACTTATAAAAAAAAAAAAAAAAAAAAAACTCAAATAAGTACCAATCAAAAATATCTATACCAAACTGATAAAAATAAAATTAAAAGAAATTGCAATTTATTATCAAAATTGACTATAAAAGCATGTTATTACGAGTGTCATAGTAACTCACCTTTGTTTCCGATAATACAGTCGGGTCTCTATTACGTTCTCCTCATTTAATATAAATGTCTATTGTCAAACTTTAAAAATATAAGCGCAAGTAAAAAATTAAAGTAAAAAACATAAATTCCAAGAATTTTAGTTATGATATATTGAAAATTAATAAGTCTCTAATTATATCAAAATCAATTTCATTTACATGAAGTTGAACATAGTCGCCGTTGCACGCTTGAGTGCATACTGATACCTAATTTAGAAACGCTCCAATGAACACTTTAAAACCAATCTGTTTTTTATAGCGAATCTACTTTTTTTATCTAAAGATAAAAAAAAAATATTATTTAAATTTAAATCATTTGTATGAAATTATTGAAAAACAGATACTAAAAACTTATTTGGCAAAAGATTGAAGCAAAATAGGTAAATTTATTTTCATTTCCGCGACAAAAAATTAAACAGATCTTTATTTAGAAAACGCGTCTTATAAGAAAAAAATGTCGTTAAAACTAATTTGAAAACGTCATGGACGCGTTTTTTTTTTTTTTTTTTTTTTTCCCATTTTTCATTTTTTTTTTTTGATTTCTTCAAAAATTTCGTTAATCTCATGTTTATCCATTCTCATCTTGTTTTTTATCACAATTTCATAACTACATTTTAGATCGTCTTCAGAAGAGAAATCGTTTGGAAAAACAAATAATGTATGCTAAATTTTAGCTTTGTGTTAAACAAAACAAAACTTAAATAACAGCATATTAAACTCTTTATATAATATGACCTGTAATATCTAAATCATGGCATTACCAACAACTGTATTGTATCGTCACTGCAAACGACAACTTACAGTGTTTTCTTTAAATGCTTGTGTTGATTTCTATAATTTTCATTAATGAAATTGTTAGTTTTTCATTTAACCTATCGACATTATTATAATGAATGATTGTTGGCTATTTATATTTTTTTGACCGTTTTCAAATTTGTTTTGACCAGCCCATCTAGAACCTAAGTTATTATTATTATTATTGTTATTATTGCTACTATTTTTATTATTATTATTATTATCATTATATATATATATATATATATATATATATATATATATATATATATATATATATATATATATATATATATATATCGGCATTTTAGATCTTCCAGCCCATGTTGTCATCCGGGTATTCAAATTTAACAGTCTACTTGTAACGATTTTGATAATTTTAGTAATTTGCCTAATAATAACTTATTTAGGGACAGAGCTAGTTAAAATACAAATATCGACTGATTTAGGGATAGGTAAAGTGGAGTGTACATACAACGACTGATTTAGATATAGGCGCAGTGGAGCATGCAAACATCGACTGAGAGTTTTTGTTTGGAGAGGCAGTCAACTAATCTACAGTTTTATTGTTCGGCAAAGTATTAGTTTCATAAAATCATTGCAAATATGGTATGATCCAACCGTTATAAATAACGAAAGTTTACTAATTGCTGCACAATGACTTTTAAATGTATCTTCTTTTTTAAAACTCGCATTGCACATTTCTTTGATACACAAAAACACGTAGCTTAATGAATTATGGTCGTTGTTGTAAAATAAATTAAATAAAACTTGCAATCTATCAAGAAAAAAAAACTGCAATGTATCATAATTAAATGAAAAATTGCGCTGAACATTTTGATTTTAATGTAAACCACTAAATCTCAATTTTTATCAAAGTTTGGATTTTAGGATTTCTTTTATTTTATAACAATTCAACATAGGTGTAAGTATTTCTGAAGTCTATTTTTAGAATAATTTTAAAAAATTTTAAGTTTTTTAAGTTATTTTAAGTTATTTCAAGTTATTCCACCTTATTTAAGTCTAATAAGAGTATTTCACACTAACGACGTTGTAAAAAAGTTTTACAACGTTGTAACAACGATACCTCAAAACACTAACTTAGGTTTATAATTGCTATCTCTCTTGTCCTTAATTTAAGCAGCATAGTTTGCTAAAAATTTTGATGATAAAAATGTCTAGAAGTTGTATTTTTATCATTTAGATTTAATAATTTGTTGTGGTATTTGCAAAGTCTTGTATTTTTTATATTGTGTCTTACAAATTATCAGTTTAGTTTTAGTAGAATACGACATATAATGGGATGCAAAAAAAAAAAAAAGTGTTTAGAGAAATATACTAAAAGTATTTTGAAACTATTAGTGAAACAAAACAAAGAACCTAAAAGCGAAAGAAAATGTTTAACACATTGACACAAAAACTCTTTTTTTTGTTTTTGTTAGTGCTAGCAAGTTTCTTTAATTGATACTGATGATTATAGCGATGCAGAAAACTAAAACATTATGGTACTAAAACATTTTGGATGTTTGTGCACTCTTTGTTCAATTCTTTGTGAACTCTGACCAAGAATTCGTTTGTATTTATTTTTTCAAATAATATATAAAATATAAATTAAAAATATATAAATGTTTTTAAAATATTTGTCTACCATCACCTCCTAAACAACAAACAGCGTCGCAATTCTTGTGACGAGTATGCTACGGCATACTAAACAAAAATATACAAAGGTACAAATCTTTTTATTATTATCTTTTTTTATTTATTTATTTATTTATTTATTTGAGTTTTCATGCTATATTTTTTTATACAGTGTTCTTATATCCGAAGATATTGTTGGCTTAGCATAGGAACAGCCACAAATAGTTATTTAGGCTAATCCAAAGTAGCGTCCGTTATTGACCAACATTTTTGCGTACCGAAGTACTATTCAAGCGCTGAGTTGGCGGTGGTGGGATTTGAACTCGTATTGTTCAGCAGTCTGGGTTTTCACTTTTCCTTTAACGCTCTAACCATCTGAGCTATCCCGCCACAGTAGATATTGTAGAAAGCATTCTTGAATTATCATTTTTTCCTCAATAAGGATGTTTTTCACATCTCTTTACACCCTCTTATGTTATGTCCAAGTTTCCCACATTCACTATATTGCAATGGTTTTTTTTTACTGGTAATTATTTGATGTGTTCTTATCATCAGCCAGCAGTAAATCTTATTGTATTTATTGCAAATGAAAAAATGAAAAACATCTGTTATTCCTTTTTTCATATTATAGGCACGCACTGCCTAGAATTGTCATTGCTTTCCATAAAAATAGAATGGAACACCGATTATTGGCGAATTGCAAAAAATTGAAGAAAAATATTATGAAAAAAAAAGAAGTAAAAAAAGTATGTAAAAAGAGCATCAAGGTCAACAACACTTTTCTAAATGAAATTACTTTGAATAAAGTTAAAGTGGAGTATAGTAAGTAAGTTAATGAGGTAAAAAGCTAAGCAGAAATTTTCAAATAACTTTTTTCAAAAATGTGGATATGTTTTGCTGAATGCTGTGGTTACATCAATTTTAAAACAGAGATATATTGGTTTTGAAGTCTTTTGCAGATGTTTTAGAGGCTGTCAAATGTTTAATAGAAAGCAGAAATGTCTAGGTTAAATGGAATGAACTTCAACGTAGTACTCAGTGTTTAGAGAATTAAGAATCATCTCAGTCTTAATGTTATCTACCTAATTATTAAGGTTATCTACCTAATAATTAAGGTTATCTACCTAAATATCTTGTAAAAATATCCTGTTAAAAAAATGTGTATTGTACAATCTTACTTATTTAATTATTTGATTAGCAATTTTTGCGATCTCAAGTTATTTAATTGTTTGATTAAATATCTGGTTCTGTGATTCCTTATAAAGACACATATAGTTTCTTTATAAGGAATCACAGTCATGGTGCAAAACAGCCGTGTCCTCATTTTAAAAAGATTAAAAAAGCTTAACTAATATGAACTAAAAAAATACTATCAAGAGAAAAAGTTGGAGATTGCAGATAAAAGGCATTATCAAGGGTCGGCAACATGATGAACAACTATTTGAGGTCTTTAAGTTATTTTGGCCTCAAATAGTTGTTCATCAGCAAAAAAATATATTATTATCATTTCTTTTTGAAAAAACTTTAACTTTTTTTTGAGCAGTTTGCCATTTTTTTTTTTCTTAAATCATAACCTTTTAATAACTAAAGCTATTTGGTTCAAATTTTCAGGGTACGTTCTGTATACAACAATAGAGGGTCTGAAGCAAAATTGATGTCAAAAATAAAATCATTCATTAATAATTAACGCTGTTCTACTTTATTTCATTTTTCAACTCTCCAAATTTTTTTTTTTTGCAAAAACAAATCAAAAACTAAGATTTTTACGATAAGTTTGGCGGTTAGTTTCTTTAGGTCTTTTACTTTACGCACATAAAACGTTTTATTAAATATTACGTAATTGCACATAAAACTTTCTTTCGTGTGTGGTTATGATTATATCTAAGAAATCGAGGTGTTTTATTTCATTTTTGAAGTATAATAAAGCACTCTTAGTTTAAATTTTATTGTTTATAGCAGAACTTTAGACGAATATAATAAAATTTGTTTTTTTAGTACTTAACTTGGCTGAGAGGTTTTTAACGCGTGCAACTTTGTCAATTAATTAATAGAGAGAGTCTTTGTAGAAACCTGCATAAGCAATAATGCCAGTGTGTATATGATTTATGTTCCAACTTTGCAACTATAAACAATTTAGCTTAAAAAGCGTTCCGTATAGATGTAAAACTTTTGAAAGTTCAAAATATTAATAATTTTTGATGGTCCTAATATCATGACTCTCGTGTATCACATTTACTAAACCTTGAAAAAAAACTTGTTATCACATACAAGAAAATAATTTTAGTACTCTACTAAAAATAAAATAACAATTTAATTTTTTATACCGTATATGCCCAAAAATTTTTGTATTTTATATTTTTACAAATTATAACTTAATAGCTATATTTTAAAAAATTGTTAGTTTTATATGCATTTAATTATCTGCATTTGATTGTAACGATTTTAAAAAATTTAAAAAAAACAAAAAAAAAATTTTTCAATTGTGAAATCTCTACTTTATGCAGAAAAAAGCAACCAGAGTGATTGAATTTCTAAGCAAAAATTCTCATACAGGTTTCTTATAGAATGACTGCAATTTGCAATGCGTCAATCTACAAAGAGCACACTATATCCGCATTGCATATTGACAAGCTAGCTGATATAATCAAAATTAAAACTTGTTTACTTATATGCAGCTGTCTTAGAATAAGCTTCCATCTATATCTAATAAAAGGTTTACTCTATAGAATTGAAAATCTATAGAGAATGGTTTATTCTACAGTTATTCTATAGTGTGTTCTGCGTAGATTGACGCAGTGCAAATAGCGGTCATTCTATAAGAAACTCTTGTAGAGATTCACAAATAGTCAAAACCCAAATTTATTATTCTACGGTAAAAACATTTTTATGAATTCGACAGTAATAGATTTAGCAAAGTTATATAAGTGAATGACCCATCCGTTATACAAAATATACGTATACATATTTTTTTTTCCCCAGTAGCGCAATTTGGGGGTTTCCATGGTACCCGGAAACCCCTTTTTAAATTGTTAAAAAAATTAAATTTCATTCAACCTTCAAAAAAAGTAACTAGAAAGTTATTTTTTTAATTAAAATAATTTGAAATGAATATGAAAATGACTTTATGCCCAAAAAAGTAAATATATAAGATATAAATATGCACGCTTTGGGTTTCACAAAGTAAAAACCAAGGATTCATAAAATTGGAAACCCCTTTTCAAAAATTTCGCGGCTGTCCCCAGATTGTTGCTATCAAGAGATAGAAAAACTATCAAGAGAAAGAAAACACTTGAACAATTTAAAATTGAATCAAAAGGTTTTTTATTATCTACGGACTTAAATTTTGTTTTCCTTTTTAGTAAAGAATATAAACTATCATAATTTATTTCTTTTATTTGCTTTTACTTTTATTTGTTTCAAATTTATTTTTCAAAAAGAATTTTTATATTAACAGTTTTATGAATTATGAAACGTACTTTTATTCATTTTATATACATTTTATCGCAAGTATTGATCACGATTTTACATATTTTATTGTAAAAAACGACCTTGTAATAAAGCCATAATGGGGCTCGGTGATAAGACAAACTGATGACTTCTCCTTGCTCCAGCCATTTGTTTTATTGTTTTTGTTGTTTTATAAAATGTAACTTTTTACGGTAAAATTGAAAATATAATGAAAAAAATAAAAATATTTGTACTCTTAAACAAGCTATGTGATACACCTAAATATCTTGTAAAAATATCCTGTTAAATGTGTATTTTGTGCAATTCCCACTTATTTAATTATTAAATTAGTGATTTTTGCAATCTCAAGTTAATTAAATGTTTGATTAATGGGTTCTGTGATTCCTTGTTACGACACTATAATCATGTTTTTAGGTTTTAAATTAAAAATACAAAAAAAAATTTAATTTATAAAAATATGGATAAAACATTTTTTTAACTACATTTTTAGGATGTTTGCAATGCTCTGTGAAGTAACGTGTACGCTTTTTTTTGTCAACGTTCTTCGTATTGCATGTGGAGGTATGTTTATATATTTGTAAATAAATATGTATCGACTTAAATATGTATATGTATGTATGTATTTATGTATATTTTTTTAACGTCACATGTTGATATTTTAATATATACGTAAAATTTAAATTTTTTTATTTATTCTAATATTTTCATTTTTAAAATTCTTTGTTTAAAAATATAATCACTTAAAAAATCGTTTAAAAATGTAATCACACAAAAAATACCTCCAGGTATTTTTTAGATATTTTAGGTATTTTTTTTAGAAATTGCGTATTTAAAAAAATAATAATAATAGTTTTACTGCCTAAAAATAAAAATTTGTTGAAATAATTGAAATGTTATACAAAAAAATAAGATAAAACCTTAAAGTACAAAACAAACAATAGTTATTTTGTGTTATTTTAATTTATAGGTTTAATTGAAAGAGAGCAGTCACGTGCTTTGCCTATTCAAATGGATTTAAAATCTGGTAAGGTAATAATAAATTAGAAAATGTATACATATACGAAAAGCAACCATGTTAATTCAAAAATTTATAAATACAGACAGTTGTAAAAAAATTTTAACACAAAAATATAACTTCCAAGTTTAGCAATTTATAAAATATTTCTTTTGACTCAATATATGAAATATATAAAAGCAAGGTTGAGACTTTTAGTTTATCGTATAATTTAACAAGACATGTTAAATATAAATGTGAGGTTTATATTAATGGCTTAACAAACTAGCAGATTAAAGCTGCTTTTGTGACCTCCGCTTTTAACTTAGCTACCCAACAGTTTATGATATTTATTTTTAATTTAGTATCTCTTTACTTTTATAATTAACCACCTGACCCCCATCTCATATACGAGTTAAAACGAAACAATCTATTCGCAAAATTTTGGAATTCCCGCATCCCCCACCTGTCCGTTTTCAGTAAGAGGGGTTGCGTTCCTTTTTACTTTATTTCGTAATTTCTACTTTTTAACATACTTTCTCTCATATAATTTACAACTTAAGTTAAAATTTAACTTAATAATGCATAGTGTACAAAATAAGATATAAAGTATAATATGCAAAAACGTATTAATCATTTTTACGATATTACCTTTAGCAAATGTTTTTACCTAAAATGCAAGTTAAATTTTTAAATCAGAATAAAAGTTATAAAAAACTATTTAAAAATAGAATTCATGACGAAAACGTTGTAACCCTCAAAAACATGCACAATCAACCAACAGATTAATCGAGTCAAACAAACAAAGAAACGCTTTAGTAAACTCAAAAAATGATCAAACTTATTATACCATGCTCTTCCTTGATTTATTGCTTCTTGATCTAGTGTACTATTAAAAATTTAAATATAGTTAATTTTTTTCATTTAATGTGTTTTTAAGTTAATATTGCATTCAATTTTTTCGTTCAATTGTTTTAATAATAAAATAAAGAAATAAAATAAAGCAAAAGAAAAATATTTGGTTTAATAATTATTATGTTTTAATAGTACTTATGTTTTAAATTTTAAACTATAATTATTTATAATTTAGTTTTTATTTTCACTATCTTAATGTTTGTAAAAGAAAGTTTCTACATTTAAATTTAGTTTAGAAAAGCAAAAAATGACCCCAACAAATTGTGCAACTTTTTAAACATTTAAATTTGAACATCAACTAATTTGTTTTTAATAACGGCGCCAATGTTGTCTGTAAATATGGTAACTGCACGGTCAGACCATAAAAATTTCCTAAATTATTGACCCCATCTATTTCTCTAATGCAATCAAATAAGGATAATCAGTGAAGAATTTTTTAGCCAAGTAATCTGCAATATTAAACTTCTTTTTGTTTGCATTTTTTGTGGCTGTTTTAGGTACTCGGTATAGTTATGGCAATTTTAAAATATTATAGCGTCTGTATGATATTTTATTGACTACAAAATATTTCGTAGTCAACAAAATATCATACAGACGCTATATTAGGCAAAAAATAATAAAATGATAAATTTTGCGGTATCTTAGAATATAAATGTTTATAGCAAAAAACAGACCGAGGATTCTTGTTTTTTTTTAAAGATCTTAAACCCACAATTGCTCGTCCAAATTTTAACAAGATTTTAAATAAATACGTTTTTTAGTTGAAATGAACATTATATGATCTGTTCTGATCATTTATTGGCAATTTTTCTTATTTATAACCTCTTTTTTGGTCGGAATTCTAGTATTTTTTGTGAAAATTGATAGAAATATTGTGTTTTGACAACAATATTTAGTTGTGGTATACCCCTGAAAAATATCAAATTTTTTAAAAAAAAAATTTGGTAGTTTTATTTTATTTAAAATTTATTATAGAATAATATTCTGAAAACCATTTTTTTAAATTCAGTATATAACTTGAGGAAAACAAACTTTACTGAACCTTACTTTTTTGAGCACCCTTGGCAACCTCCATAGCAACGGTTAAATTTTTATTTGGCCAAGAAACTTTCCCAAAACATAATTTTTGATACTGAGAAAAAGCTTGATATGAATTTATAATTTATTTCTATTTTCCATTAATCAAAACATCTGTAAGAGTAAAAGCAATAACTAGATTTCTAATAAATTTTTTCCAGAAGTTTCTTTAAAATGAATTGTCATCTTAAAGTTATATATATCTATGCATCTGTTTATGTTAATATAAATTAAACCTTATACTTTTAATGGGTAGAGGACGTGTGAAATTTTCTACTCAATACAAAAAGAAAAAAAGATTTCATGGGAAATCAATATACCTTAAATGAATCAAATTCAGCAAATACTAGTCTTCTACCTTCTACAGATTCACAGAGCTCAATAAAGTATCTTATTCCAAGGTAAACCTAATTAATACTTCTGCAAGTTCTAATAAAAAAACAGAATTGCTTGTTGAAAAATTTTCATAATCTGTGTATTGCTAAATGGAAACTAATAGTCAGATTTAAAAGCTTTTGGCAGATTGCATAGATCAAACTGTTTTTTATCATTGGGCAAAGTTTTACTTTGAATACTCTATTAGAATTTGAAATATTTTTGACAGTGCGATGTGCATATTTTCTTAAATCCGCCATTTTAGGTGGTTGTCATGACATGTTATTGAGGGTTGTCATAACCACCTGTTATTTTGTAAATCAATTTCGTTTAATAAGATTTTTCATAGGCTTAATTTTAATTTTGACTGTGAAATTTGACTTCACAAGAAAATCTAATATATTAATTATAATTAAAGTTCAGACACTTTTTTTTTACTGATTAATTGATTTACACAAACTACTTTGAGTAAAATTAATAACAAAAAAAAAAAACAAAAAAAAAGAGCAATACTATTTGATTTTTAAATATTAGTAAATATTATTACTGCGTTAGTATAAGCATTCATATGTATATGTATTTACATTATATAAAAACATATACATGCATGCGTATGTATATATAATGCTTATACTATAAATATGCTTAATAAGTATGCTTATACTATAGCAGTAATAATGTAAATTTTACATATACATGCATATGCATACATATCTCACATATATATGTGTATATGTATGTAAATAAATACTTATACATTGCACAAGAACAGCCAGGAAGCTATAAATGCAGAAAATTACAAAAAATGTTAAAATTAAATTATCCTGCAAATAAAGCACTGTTTTCTTTTATAAATGTAAAGTTATATTTATATACTTTTTAAAAATAATTAATAATAGTATCCATTATATTTTGATAGATGTTGTGAAAAGTCTTAACAGTGGTTTTTTTTAATTAGTTGATAAGTGCTATAATTTTTGCATTATTGTGTTATGAAGGTAAACATTGTGTAAAGAATTCAACATTATTTTTTATTTGTAAATAAAAATTATATGTTGAGCTTTACAGTTCTTGTTTTTTTTTTTTTACTTAGGGGGTGTTACTAAAACATTTATAACTTTTGAAATATTTGAGACAATTTTGTTTTGTAAAAAGAATAAAAACAACAATAAAATGTTTTATCATACGACATTTAATACAATAGTAAAAAAACTTCTTTTAGTTTAAAAAAAACGCAACAAATGATGAACTTGGCTAAATTTTAGATATTTGTTGTTACTTTTTATAAAAAAAAAATCTGAAAAATATATTTCTGATAGTTATTATCAAATACAGTCGTTGTTTGACTATTATTAAAATAAAAAAACCTTACTTAATTGTTAAAGATTAACTATAACAGTTTTTATTGAAGTCTGCTTGTAAATAAGCCACAAGAAAAAAAAACCCGCCAAAGTTTGTTTATTCCAGAAGTCACGAGAGCCTAATTTCCACCAAAGTTTGTTCCAGAAGTCACGAGAGCCTAATTTTTGTGATGAAATACGAGATTTTATTATCTGAGAATAGCGAGCTTTGGCATTAGACAAAACCTTTTTACAATGGTTTCTAGCAGTAATAAACAGACGTCTGTTTTCTGGAGAATTGTTTTGCTGATAGATATGGAAATAATGGTTTCGATTGGCAATTGCAGCAGCACAATGTGAGGAAGACCATGGAGAAGAGTGAGGCTTGACCTGGAATCGTCGAGAGGGAATAAAGGATTTCATGCCAGCCTGAATCCACGAAGTTATGTAAGAAGCACATTTGTCAACAGGGAAACAAAAGAATTCTACCCAGGGGCCATCACAAAGAAAATCACGAAAAGAGTCCCAGTCAGCTTTAAGGTAGTTAAAATTAGTCTCACAAAGAGCAAGTAGGTCTGGTGAACTTTGCAGGAGATAAGACTCAACAGAAGAAAAGTTACTTCGAAGACCACGAATATTGGTATATGATAGGTTTAGCGAACTTGGTGATGACTGTGGTTTTTTGTGTTTTATAGTTTTTGTTACTTTATTTATTTTTAAATTTGTTAAAGAACTTGACTCGAAACATAGATAGTACTCAGTACACTGTCTTATAGCCCAAGCAATTGCCTCATTTCCACTAATAAACCCTAAGCCGTAACAAAGGGCTCCAATGTGGCCTTGGCAATGCACACCAAAAGTACAAACAGGGACACCATCCATACGCAACATGGCACTGTTAGTACTCTAATATTTTTTTAGCTGTTGATGGAATCAGCCTCTCTGAGAGCTACCACAGAGCTCGGGAAACCTGACTACCAGCCGGCCTCAGAACCATAAAACTGAGTTTTAGAGCTGTACCCTCATTTGGAGATAATAGAATGAGTTGCCTAGTCATAAAAACAGAGACAAAAGCAAAACCCATGAATTGAGTCAAGAAGATCCAGCGTTCAACATCCTAAACTGGAAACAATGTATTAAAAATACATCTGCGCCAGCCTAATAGATGAAGAAGGGGTGCGAGGCTGGTCAACAGATAGAATCTGTTTACCCCTTAAGTCTTTGCCTAGGAGGCCTTCTACAAGACAGCTGCCGGATGCATTTAACATCTGCCCAAGATGAGTATTTTTATCGAGACACCATTTCTAGCCTTTACTCAACCAA